AGAAAAGAAAAGGAAGAACTATATTCCATCTCATTGAAAAAAAAATAAAATTTCCTATTATTCAAATAATCAATCACAATTCATGTTTCCTGATAAAATAGTGTTTGAAGGAAACAATTGAACTAAGCAACTGAAGAGTTTAATTATCAGAAATAAAATGAAAAATTCATGCATCTTTCAATATTAATGAAGATATGATTATAACATATGCCAGGAAAAATAAAATGACTATTTGAACAAGAATTTCTGATTTTCCCACACATTTGGAGAGGTGACTGCCCTGTAAACCAAAATTCATTCATTTCATCAACTCAAGGTAAAAGTATTAAGAATTGGTAGTGAAAAACATTGCTTTTCCTTCTCTTTGCCCTTAACGCTGAATCCTATGCAACTTCATTTCCTTATTCTATACCAAATTCGTCTTTTATCCTATGTTATCCTTTTTCCGATTAAACAACTAAAAAACCCATATGAACGCAGAAAAATCAAGAAGAATCTGGTATTAGCAATAGTGTTATACACAATGGAAGGAACATGAAAATCTGGTGTTAGTAGACCCCAGGAAGCCATAAAATTATGTAGGCCAAAACCCAAACATGTTAATTACCTTAAACCATAAACAGTCAACCTTATTGGAAAAAACCCAAAACTAAAATAGTTGGTGATAGACATAAAACCTTTCCACAAATCAATTCTGCCCTTCAGACCACTCCAGGACTTATAAAATTAATAGTTACTTAACTCAACTCTAGACCATGAATGAGATTAAGTCATAGGTAACACTGAGCACAAATACACATGGATGAGTAAATGCAAGACCCAATCAGTATGGATTCAACCAAGGTGCCTAAAATTAGTTCAGGCAGCACACAAAGTCACAAACCAAATGAAAATGAATCCATAATACTGCAGTATATGATCTAACTATCAATAAAAGAAAGCTTTCAAAGTTAAAATAAAAAAAAAAAAAATTACAAAAAAGACTCAATCACAACCATATTAATTTCAGAAAAAAACAGTCAAAAAATCATATGGAGAGAACAATCATTTACCAATGATGTAAACAAATAAAAATGAAAATTGTGCTTCTGTTTCAACAATGTAAATTATTCATGGCAAATCAAAATTAATGAATAAGCCACAGGGAGAATGTATGGCAGCACATAAGCATAATAAAGTGTCAGATCCTCAATGAAATATTAGTGGGATTAGCATCTTTTTTGAGGCTCTGGGAAAGTGTCAGGTAATAGAAAGTGGAAGGAACTCCTTTATTCTCATAACAGCAATATATATATATATATATATATAATTGACATACATCAATAGATGGTAATATTCCTTTCACTTTCAGCTTGATTTTTGCGTTCCAAATTAGCCACAGCCTTTCACTCAAATAGCTGGGCAGCTGTAAAGTTCTTGAGTTCTCAATAATTTTGGGTAGGCAGTAGAAGTATCAAGTACTTTGGGTAGGATAATTACTTTCATTGCCACAAATCCAAACATGATTTTGAGTGCATAATTAGTAAGCTAAAAGTTTATTTTGAAAAGCATAAAAACTCTATATAAAGACCATTACCTAACAACCAAAAACCCCTGAACTTGACAATTATACTTTCACCTATCTTTCACTAATTCAGTTGGGACCCAATCAAGGCACTTGAATGACTCAACATACGACCAGCCATACAGAATTAATCATCCTTTCAAACACAATAGCATAACCCCACACAGACATTTTAACAAACATTTGGTGTGCAAAGTCGATAATCTCAAAATGAAAAAAATAATGGTCAACTAAAGCAAAAGGAGATCAAAATCATTAATGTGTTAGAATTGTACACCTTATAATGGAGACAAAACCATCATCCCTTCTGGATTAATCCTCTGCCCTTGTTCTGTTTATCTATAGAAAGTTGGTCCCTGACATGCTTTAGACTGACTTTGTCTTGATTCCCAATCCCCATCTCATCGTGCTTTGCTGCTATAGAACTTCAAACAATCCATCGGGTGTGGACACCAATATTGAGGGAATGCTACAACTGGTGAGGAACGGGGAGACCAAGTCATGATTTTATGCAAGTTCCCTTCTCCACCGACAAAGTAGAAAAGAGTAATGCTACAAAAAAAAAAAATAAATAAATTATTAGTAACTCTTGATTATATGATCAAGAAATCGAGAAAGGAAGGAAAAGCCATTACAGCTAAAGAAAAATACCCAAAATGTAAAAAATAAATAAATAAAAATAAAAATTCCTTAAAAAAAATGTCATCTTTGTGTTAAAGAGAAGGTGCCCTGCCTTGGTGCCATCCGATTCTTCCTCCCTTCTCTCTTATCCCCATCTCCCTTTTCCCTTTCCTTCTTCCTCCTCCGATCGATCTTTCTTCAACTGGGTTTTCGACCCTGTTCTTGAATTTTTCCGATTCTTATTGGGCTTCCCTGGATTTGACTCCATGTTGAGTGTATTCTCTTAAAGGTTTTGTCTTTTGGTTTGATCGTGTTGGTGTTCCTTTGTGTTCTCTGATCTCTGGTGGGTACAGTTCTGTTACCATGGGGGAAGGAAGAGGAGCAACAGCAGCAAGAAAGGAAATGTGATCGAGACGAGAGAAATGAGCAAGAGATGGGAAATCATCAGACCTGAAATCTGAAAGGAGATACAGGGTTCGGTGCTCAAAATCTCATTAGAGCAAACAACCCCAAAACACCAAAAGTCATCTCAAACTGCAGAACTTGACTTTCCCTTTTGATGATTGACGACCACCGACCAGACTTTACGAGAATCAATCAAATGCAGAAAAGGAAATACATCAGTATAGACACTGCAAAAACAGGAAGAGGAAGCGTGTAAACGAAACCAGATTGAATCAACCTGCCTTTGTGTTGAAATGACCTAAAAACCACCCCAACATGTGAAATGGAGAAACAGAGATGGGAGGGCATAGCGGGAAGAGGTCACGAAATGACATACATGCCCCTCATAATAGGTGAAATAAAGGAATAAAGTTCTAAGATTAAAAGTGAAAACCCGGTATCAAATGACGAAAAACCCACTCATGACTTGTAAAATAGAGCGAAGAAACTTAGAGGGTAAAAGTGAAAAAATAAAATTACTGTAGCAATGTGAGAGGAGAGGCTTCCTCCCATTTACTTATTTGATTATTTGATTTCTCACTGTTTTTCATGCACACATCTCTGCACTCATTTTACACTTTATTCTAGAGATAAAAGGGGTGTTTTTGGATAAAGGGATAGTAGCACCTATTCTACTAAGGACCAATCTGTTAATACGTCAAAAACTAGAGGTGTCCACTGTGCTTTTTTCATTTTCTTCTAGAAAAGCAAGTCTCTGACGAGTAATCTGCTCATCTTCAAAACTTCCCAAGTTTCTGCCATTATCAGTGCACTCAAGGTGCACCTCCAAGCCACCCAACTTGGGAGGGCTAGCTCAACATCAGGGACCTCAAGTGTCTCCTTACGAGGTAGGTGATTTTTTTTGGGTCAAAAACTTAGTTGATTAATTTGCAATTTTGCACAGTTCATCAGCTAATTTTCCTTTAAATTAAATACATCCTAGGTGGGCTTCTTTTCAAACAAAGAGGAAGCAGCCTAGAACATGCCACAGCTCTATCATTCCTTCTACTGGTCTATGGGCGCAGTTTGGGTCAAGCCAGGAGACAAGTCCATTGTGGGGAGACGATCGTTACTCCTGTAAGGCTTACAGAGTTCGCAAGAAGCCAGGTAATTGGAACCTGCACATGATATAATATTCAACTATCACTCCCGCAATCCACAATTGGACCTGACCTGATTCAGGCATTTCATCAATAGAGGTGGACTACATTCTGGGAAACAATCTGTTGGGAATTTCGTTCCTGGTTGGATATGGGAAGATATACCCACAGAGGATAGTAGAAAAGGCACTGTTGAGATTTGAAGAAAATTTTAGGTTTTAATTTAAGTTTGGTTTCGTAGTTTATGGTTAATTTATGGTTTAAATTGAAACCAAACCTTATATTTATGGATCTACAAAAATCTAAAACAAATAAAACCAAAATTAAAAATTAAAAATTAAAAATGTTCCAATCCATGGTTTGGGTCCTGGTTAAACCGGGACCAACTTGCAGCCCTACTTTGAGTTAGTGGGGCTGCTTTTTCCAAAGCCACTAGCTGGAGATTCATGAGGTGGTATAGGCAGATTCCACCAACAAGTTCAGACCATAATTTCTCTCATAACCCAATTTTAATGGGGGCTAAATGATAAAATCGGAAGGCAATGGATTATTCTTATGAAGGCTGGAAACTTGAAGGGCTAAGAGGAGAAAATGGCAAAATGATGTCGTTTTGATCAATGGGCTAAAAAATAAAAAAAGAGAGGCTGGATTAAGATGAAACCTAGCCCTCATTTTTCACGATTCTTGCTTCCTCTTGCTTTACCGCTAGCCACTCTCCCAAAATTCCCAAATTCTTTTGATTTATCTACAAATCCACTTGAAGTTTAGATAGATCACAACACAAGAAAAGATTTTCGGATTTGAATCCCTTATCAAGAGTCGTAGAAGAAGTTTTCGAAGTCGATTCAAATTGGAAGTCTTAATATTTTAAAGGTATGAATCTAGCCTTAAAAGAGGGAAGATGTGTAAAGAACTAGATTAGTTTTAGAATTCCAAATTCTAATAAGGCTAGATCATTATCTGTAATTTTAGGGATTGAGATAAGAATTTAGAATTAGAAAAGGGTTTGAGTTCTCCGTATTTTTGTATAAAAGGGGAAGCTTCGACTTCTAATGGGGGAGATTTCAAGAATTGGAGAGAGGAGAGCCGAGAGATTGAGAGAGAAGGAAGATTGGAGAAATCGAGAGAGAAAGAGCAGAAAAATAGGAAAAAGACTGCAGAAAAAGAAAAAGGGGAGGAAATCTTGTATTCTCTTAAAGTTTCTTTTTGTAAACAAATAATATCAAATTTCTACACTTCTTCAGGTGTGTGTTTTTTTTATTTCCCTTTTTTTCGTTATGGGTAATTGCTGTTTTTTTTAGTTGTTTCTTTTCATGGGTTGTCTGCGCCTTTAATATTTTTATTCTTCATTTGTTTCTCACTTGTTTTATTCGTCAAGTCATAGGTTTTTTTTTTGTTTTTTTTTTCTTTCTTGTTTCATTTATGCTATTCGTCACTTTGCTACCAATATAGCTTCTTTTTTTTTTTGTTTTCTTTAATTAAATTAGATTTTTTTTACTAAAAAAAGAAAAGAAACGAAAAAAGTAGAAATTAAGGGTGTTCGCAGTGTGATTTGGTTTGTATTTTAATATTTTTTAAACTAATTTAATTTAATTGGTTAATAAAATTTTTAAACCAATTTAATCCACTATTATATGATAACCAAACCAATCCAATTTAAATCGGATTGGTGTGGTTCAGTTAGACTGATTGGTTTTTAACACTATTAAATATATGAAATAATATAAAAAATTTTAACATTAAATAAAAAATAGAGCTATAAAAGATATTAGCATCCAAATTACTAGAAATATAATAAAATGCATAAATTATAAACAAGTTTTTACACTCATTTACAATTGTAAAAATTAAAAAGATTTGGAAATTCTTTTTAACTAAATCACTAGAGGCATCAAGAATAATAAAAGATAACTTCAAATTTTAAATATAGTACAAGTAATTTTTAAAGGTTTAAACCTATTTTTTTTCTTAATGCAGCAAATGATTCAATCCCATCTTCCAAACCTTGTTAAAAACAATTAAAATTTAACATAAATGTCATTAAAAATGATTAGAAGCATTCATAATTAAAATTTAAAACTTTTTAACCAAATATCCAAAAATAATAGAATATCAAATTTAGTTCTATTATATAGTTTTAAGACTTCTAGAACGATATTTCTTAAAATTTAATTAAGAGAATCAAAATATTATTTTAAGACTAAATTAAAAATTTAGCGTTCTCAAAATAGAGTTATAGACTAATTATAAGAAATAGGGTTACAAGTGAATTGAAAATTTAGAAATAGAGTTAGAGTGCACGATTTAGAAAGGAAAATAAATTAGAGAATATAGGGATATT